CTTAAGCCGCTGAGCTATCTCCCTGGCCCCAGAGCAGTTGTTCTGTACGTTGTCTCCACTTAGGTTTGTCTGATTGGTTTCTCTTTCTCTTGATTGGCTTATTTATTTATTCATTTAATTTTAGGGAAGGGTCTACAGGGTGTTCAGGGTCTCACTACTAGATGGGAATTATAGTGATCCACCTGGTTACAGCCTCCCAAGAGCTGGGATCACAGGCACTCGTCACCATGCCTTCTCAATTGCTGTTTCAGTGTGGGTGATGGGGAGGGATGGAACCCCTGGCCTGGGCCCGGCCTGGCCCCTGCACCTGCTTGCAGGAGCTTGAATCTGCTGAGCTATTTGGCCAGCCCTTATTGGTTAATTATATTTAGACTCAAGTTAAAGTATGAGTCATCTTTTTTTGTTTTGTTTTGTGCAGAACCGGGGATTGAACTCAGGTCCTTGTGCTTGCCAGGGAAGCGCTTATTCCATTGAGCCATCTCCCCGGCCCATATGGGTCATATCTTATACTTAATCTTAAAAAAGAGCAGAGATAAACCCGATGTGATGCTCACCTGGGAGTACTTTGGAAGGCTGAAACGAGGAAGATCATAAATTTGATCCCAGTCTGGGGAATTAACAATTTAGTGAGACGTTCTCTCAAAATAAAGGGGTTTGGGGATGTAGCTCAGTGTGAAGGCCTTGAGTTTATTTTTTTATTTTTTAATTTTTTATTTTTTTGCGGAACCAGGGATCGAACTCAGGCCCTAGACCCTTGAGCTTGTCAGGCAAGCACTTATTCTACTGAGCCATCTTCCCAGCCCCAAGGCCTTGAGTTTAGTCCTCAGTTGCTTGCGCTCTCTTTTGCTCTTTTGTTCTCGCTCTCTGTGTCTCTGTCCCTCATTCTCTCACACACATAGGAGAGAGAGCAAGAAAGGTGAGGGGGGTACACTGTAGGCAACCCTGGATCTATGTGCTGCCCCCTGCCCATCCAACTCTTTTTCTGCCTTGGCAGCATGGTAGCCCAGAGTCAGTGAGTCTCTCTTCCACAGGTCTGCTTTGTGATCTGCTTCATTGCTGGCCTGCTGCCAACTCCCTGCTTCCTTCAGGGATCCTGACCCTTTGACCCTCTGTAATCTGATCTGTGGTCAGGATGAGTTCCTCGTCCTCTGAAGAGACAAATGCCTGGAGTTCCCTTCATTCGGATGAGCCCAGTGACTCCATCTATCGGTTCGTCTACACCTGCACTGAGTGCAAGGAACAAGTGGACACACACTGGCGCTGCACGGTCTGCCAGGTAGGCACCAGGCCCTGGAGAGGAAGGGGCAGCCCTGTGGGTCTCCATCATCTGAAAGGTGACACAGAGACGTGTTACACAGGCCCCTGGCGTGGGACAACTTGATCTCATGTTGAGTAGCAGAGTTGAAGATGCTGCTTTCATTCTGTTAAAAGGAGATTTTTAAGCCCAGCATGGCTGTTATGCTTGTTCCCTCAGCACACGGTTGAAGCTGAAAGATCTACAACTTTGCGGCTACCTTGGGCTACAGGGTAAAAACCTGTCTCCAAAAAAAGGGTGCTTTTCTAACCCAACCTTTGGAATGAAGTTTTGAGAGTTGCCTGTATCTCCTATCTTTTTCTGCAGGAGTACATCCTGTGTGTTTCCTGCTATCCCACAAAAAGCCATGACCACCCAATGGAGAAACTGGGACTTGGCTTGGATGACGAGACCAGCAAGGAGCAGGGTGGAGCCTCACAGAACCCAGCAGAATCTTGCTGCCTGAGCATCCAGCGCAATATCCAGTCCCTGCTCCATGCCTGCCAGTGCCGTAATGCCAACTGCACCCTGCCCTCCTGTAAGAAGATGAAGCGGGTCATCCAGCACACCAAGGGCTGCAAACGGAAGAACAGTGCTGGGTGTGCTGTCTGCAAGCAGCTCGTTGCCCTCTGCTGGTACCATGCCAGGAACTGCCCAGAGGACAACAGGTGCTTTGTGCCCTACTGCTTTACCATCAAGCAGAAGCTCCAGCAACCACAGCTGCAGCTGCGCATCCAGCAGGCCCTGATGCTGCGCAGGATGACAGCCAGCACTGATCCAGACCCTTTGGTCCCCTGCGATCTGAATGACGCTCAGGAAGTGGGGATGAGTGCCCGAGGCTCTTTTCACTCTGAGCCCAGTGGCCTACCCCCTGTGCCACGGAGGAGCACCCGTAATGTCCCATACACCTGCAGTGAGTGCAGGCAGGATGTGGAGACTCGCTGGTACTGCACTGTCTGCCAGGTAGGTGGCAGGTTATGGGAAAGACATGGTGGACCTGAGAGTCCCAGTCATGTGATGAGTGACCCAGAGAAGTGTTAGGGTAGCTGATGGGAGGGGAGGGCCTGGCCACATGATTTGAATTCCAGAGCAGAACAGGCTAGTCAGATTGTTTAAAAAGTGCTTTTTCACCAGGTGTGGTTGTGCACATCTATAATCCCAGCACTCAGGAAACTGAGGCAAACTCACTGTGAGTTTGAGGCCAGCCTGGGCCACATAGTTCAAGGCCAGCCTAAAATACATAGGGAAGGGGTTCTGTAAGGATTGGTTGCAGGGGACACCAGGCAGGAGCACTTCCACTTGAGGTGCAAAGCAGCATTTTTGCCAATAAATATTTCCTAAGGAAAAAAATAAATAAATAAATAAA